CTTGTAAAAGTGTAACAGTGGCGTGTTAAAAAGATGTCTTCCTACGGTGAAAAATACTTATGAATCTTAACATGCTTCGTAAAAGTTAATGCATACTTAGCTGCGTCAGCGTCTACGCGTCATTTTTTCAAAGTCTAAGTTGCAATAAAAGGGGAGAATAAAGCAGGTGTTAACTACCAACAAAACAAATACTAGGCCAGCCTAAAGAATAGCGACCAAATAATGCGGATGCACCAGTAACCGTGATCACATGTCATTCATTGGAATATAGAATCTGCCATTATTGCAGCAGAATTATGAACTGTGTGCACGAACTGACGTTCTAGTTTCATCTTGATCTCGTCTGTAAGTAATCTTAGGGCTAGGATTACGATCAGGGTTAAAGTAGGCGTTAGTGTTAGGTTTAAGTTGTTGTATTATGAGTATTAGTAGCACTTGACTTGTAAATAAGTTAATAGGAGGAGAGTGCTTCGCTGTTTGTGTAGATGAAACCGTTTTAATAGCTATGAAACCAGCTATGAAAGGCTGATACCATTCATTATAATTAGGATGTGTTTTTTTCATTTTCTATAGTTGGTTTGTAAGGATTAGTTTTGGTTTTTTTACGAGTTGATCACGGATTGATATCAGTTAGAGAACCATTGAGAACTAGCATGAAGTACTGGACAGTTTGGTAATCATCGGCAGTACGTACCCACCACCAGGGTTCGAACCCAGGACCTTCCACTTGCGTGGAAAGCTCATTGGCAATTCAGTTATTGGGACTTGAATCAATGGCCAGCCTATAGATTCTAAATTCTACCAATTCGCGATTTTAGCGCGACCCCAACCAATGTCTACAGCGGGATATCCATCCTCAGACGTGACTGAATGGACCTCACCAGTTACGACTTCTTACTAGAACCCCAGGAAACTCCATCCTTTAACATCCTCTAACTGATATCAATCCGTGATCAACTCGTAAAAAAAACTAATCCTTATAAACCAATTAATCTGATGCTTGCTAGTGACATGCTACAGGATGGAGTTTCCTGCAGTTCTGGTGAGAAGTCATGACTAGTGAAGTTCATCCAGTCAAGTGTGACGATTGATGTCCCACCGATGACAAAGGTTGGTGGTCGCGCTAAATCACGAATTGGTAGAAGTTAGAATTCATGAGCCGTTAAATCTGGTCCCAGTGGCTGAATGGTATAAGAGCTTGCCTTGTAGCCGGTAGGTCCTGGGTACGAACCTCAGTGGCTGCGTACTGCTGATGATTCCTGAACCAGGATGGAACAGCTGTCCAGTACTTCAGTGGTGGTTTTCAATGGTTCTCTAACTGATATCAATCCGTGATCAACTCGTAAAAGGTTTTTTCTGTTATATCAGATTGCAATGTTGTCTTTAACATTTTTCATTATTACTATTTCAGTTTTTCTTGTAAGTAAACGGCTTTTGATGTATGATACACGGTGGGTTCTATTATTCAACGAATGGTATGCGTTCAAGGTGATTTGTGAGTTCGCACCCTGAGTTTTGCATTTTTAGTGTTTGTCAGGTACTGTGAACATCTTCAAAGTGGTATATAAGATATCTTTATTTATTATTATATTATTACTGTACGTCCCCAGTGGAATATAGGGATTCAAGTTTGAGACTTGAAGTTTCTGTAGCAGTGGTGTTTATTTTTACAGGATGGGGTTGCTAGCCTCATGGCCAACCATTCCTCTTCACCAGTCTTATTACTGCCTTACCGAAGATTAGGAGTGCGTTGGTGGCCGTGGAACGAACCTCGCACCACATGCGTGGTTGGCGAGCATTCTACATCCGTACCAACGCCGCGTTATCGCCTACTTCACACTAATTAAAAAAGTGTTCCCACATCCATTTGCAGGTCGCTGAAATACACTACAAATATAATGTAACCTTATATTCTCGGCCGCAGTCTTTGGTGGAACTAAAACTGTGCACAACTGTGTACTGTTCACTAGTAACAACGCTTCTCTAGAATACATCGGCTCATAGAAACTTCTACTTTGAAAGTATGAAGTAATTTCTCGGCAGTTCAGTGGGTGTGATGACACACAACTCTCTGCAGAAGAACTGTAATGTTGAGCTAATGTAATTATACAGTTTCCTCTATTACACCCGTGAACATTCAACTAAATCCAAGCTATTATTGAAAAGTACCATAGATATTAAATTATGGATAAATTGATTATAGAGAGAAAAATATTCAAAAATCGTTGTGATTCCTTAATTTCGATTCTGTTTTAACTTTTTCGCTGTCATGCGTCCAATTTAAAGATATTTTATCCGTATTCTCAGCGGTATTAAGCTTGACTGGAATTGGCGGTAGTTAAACTGCAAAAGTGGATTACTCATTGTATCCTTAAAAAAAGACTTTAAAGCTTTATTTTGTGTTTATCTAAACAGAAAACAATGTTCTCGTAATGAATACCCATGGACGTTATGAGTTTCTAATGTATAAACTTCGAAAGATTAATATCGATTGGAGATGTCCATTAAAAATTTAAAAGATTCATTAATGAACAGAGAATATTCTTCTGGATAAATTCATCAACAGATTCCACATTCATATGATCACAATAATTAACGAAATATTGTTATTAACAACATTATTGCTATTTTAAATTACACTGAATCCCTACTACCAACAGATTACACTTCAAAAGCATCATTAAGACAGAAAGAGATAATACGCATTAATATAACACTAGATTGATTGAAAATCAGATAAATTAAGGGAAGTAAGAGAGATTTTGACGTGGTTGTGTTGTTTGAGCTGGATAGTCAATTTGTGAAGCTTTCACTGCCCTAATAGGCAACATCTTAAGCACATACTTCAATTTGAATTGAAGTGAGCTTTTAGATTTCTCCAGGTGTTTATTAGTCATCTCTTCCGGTGGTTGACCTTGAACGTGATTGTTTGTTCTTGTGTGTTTTCCTACCATCTAGGCTACTCGAATTAAAACTGATTGCTTCCTTGACCTGAAGTTTGACCCTTAGTGTGTGAGGTTTCCTTCTTATCGGCTGGTAAATTTTGTCCATCTCGATGTGTCTATTGATTGACGGTTCACTGGAATACCAGGGGAAAACTCAAGTTTATAGAAAATCAACTCACACAGACCAAATACTTAATTACAACTGCAGCAATTCAATAACACACAAAAGGAATTGTATTCTAACACTATTTTTAGAGGGCCATGACTCACTGCAGCACTCTCACCTCAAGGAAAGTTGAAGACGGATATCTCATAGGCGTCTTCCAAAAGAATGGATATCCACGGAATTTCATCGAAAGACATATACACCCAAGACAAACTATCACACCAAAGGCCCCCAAGCAAAGCACAAAGAAAATCGCCATACCATGTATAAAGGACATCCCAAAAATCCCCGCAAGATTCGTCAAACCTTTGGGAATTAATATCACACACAAACTAACAAAATCACTTCATTCGGCTAGCTTTATGTCAACCGAAAGACTCAACAACGAAGGAAGATAAAACCAACATCATTTACAAAATAAACTGTAACAACTGCAAAAAACACTACATTGGCCACAGTGGACGTTCCCTTCGTTTTCGTATCCATGACATCAAAAGACATTACATCCACTCCCTCATATCACTACATACAGACAACCATAGACATCAATTCGACTGGGACAACCAGCGTCCAAATATTAGATAGAGGAAACACCAAGAATCCTAGAGAAATTTTAGAAGCCTGGTATTCTAGTGTGTCCACAATCAATAGACACATCGAGATAGACAAAATTTATCAACCGATAAGAAAGAAACCCCACACTCTAAGAGTCAAACTTCAGGTGAAGGAAATAAACAATTCGAGTAGCCTAGAGGGTGTGAAAACACACAAGAACAAACAATCACGTTCAAGGTCAACCATCGGGAGAGATGACTAATAAACTCGTGGAGAAATTTGACAGCTCACTCCAAACTGATGTATGCGCTGAAGATGTTGCCTAGTAGGGCAATAAAAGCTTCACAAATTAACTATCCAGCTCAGAGAACACAACCACATCAAAATCACCCACCTGAGCTACAAATTTTCTCCATTATATCTGAAGTAAGAGGGAAATAAGGAATTTATAGGTTAGGCAGCACACCAAGGTAGCAGTAGTGACTGGCCGACCTTGTTTCTTTTGCACTCAGGGCTCCAGCTAATGTAAGCAAATCGCGATGCTTTCGAATGTTTGGAGTGTTCGGTATTTAGAGGCCTTTAGCAATTTATTCAACATGCGGCAGATAATAACTGTTCGCCTTATGGCGTGTTTGCATGGGGTGGTTCAATATAGAACTGTTGACGATTTCAACAACGTACGTTTTTAACCACAATGGTTGGTGTTTCTGAATAGGCAAAATTAAGTTTCTAGAGTAATAACGGCCAATATAAATTGGCTTCACAGGAGCAAGAGTCATGAGAAGACAATATTTCCGTAATGAACGCACAACAGGGTTATAAGCTCCCAATATTTTTCATTCGTGAAATTAATATTCTTTGAGAGAAATTATTTATTTGCTGAGAAATATCAATACCACCTATACTACTCAAAACGTGTCTTACTAACTTTATAATATCTACAGTAGGCTGCATTATAACAGACCTAGATCTGTGGTTTATTTACGAGCTTATGAGGCGATTTTTGAAGTTACCTCATGTCAGATTAGTGCAGCTTCACTGCATTTTGTGTTATTTAATACAAAATGCACGACATCTCATTTATTTCCAAATAATCAAGATATATAGGTCATTTCGAAAAGCAATTCTCTACCGTTCTGAAACAAAGCAGTATCAATAAACCTGCCGATTAAACCGTGATAATTTAACAATACATTTAGTTGTTTTAATCTTTGAAAAAAAGATGGCGGTGAACTACTTGGCGTACTGTTTAATATGCAGAATTAAATAAATAAATATAAATTCAGTAGTAACAGCAATGATAATTAAGTTTAAAACAAATAAAACCGATTTACCTTATACAATCTATCCCGTTCAACCATTTCTCTCCTGCGTCTACTGGCCTAAAATAAAAAATATTCAAAAGAAAGTATATAAGCTCAATTAAAATCTAACCTAAATTTGTTTTGGTGTATGTATGAGCAATATAAACAACAATATAATAAACACAATAATATAAAACATCTGCTTGCATCAAATACAGGATTATTTAGAAATTAAAAAAGGATCAGCAAAATTATAAATGTGAATTAAAGCGTAGAAGTGTAGTGGAATTCAAAATTAGGTCAAAGAAACAAACAAATGGCAGTGGAGCGTGAAGTAATTTTAATATTCCATCGGATGAAACAAATTATGAATAAACTTATTGTGTCTTATACTACATTGATTATTCACAGTAAACAGAGCTGAGAGATAATCATGCAAACATATGGGAAGTTATCATTGAAGATGAAATTCTTATTTTTTTTTTCAATATGGAGCGAAATTCACTTTAGATGAATATGAAAGAAAACACCAGTAATCGATTTCACCAACTCACCGACATACAACCTCTCTAAATACTTACTCTCGGTACTACAACCACTACAAAAGGACACTCAAAATATTGTAAGAAATTCTGTTTGATTTCAAATCCCAAATAGAACACCAAGAAATTGATAAAGAAGACATTATGGTAAGCTATGATATTAACTCATTATATACTAGTATCCCTATTACCGAAAGTCTTGATATCATTTTCAGTTTACTAGAATCAGATACAACGCTATCACAAAGATGTCCACTGAACACCAGTGAAATAATTAAGAGTTTGAAATTCTGTCTAGAAAGTAATTATTTTACATTTAAAGGGAGTTTATATAGACAGACAAATGGTGTTGCTATGGCTTCACCAGTCTCCCCAATAAGCGCTGAACTTTTCATGAATAGATTCGAAAATAACATCTTTTCAAGCGTATTCACTCTTCAGATATGGTTAAGGTATGTAGATAATACTTTTGTAGTGCTCAAACGAGATCTACACAATTCATTCCTGGAGAAAATGAACTGTGTATCTCCCAGAATCCAGTTCACTTCGGAAGCAGAATCAGACGTCGGTGAACTACCATTTCTAGACTGCTTAGTTAAGAGAAGGGAAAACGGACATTTTAGTATATCCATATTCAGGAAGAAAACCCACTCAAATAAATATTTAGACTTCAAGTCATCACACCCCATCAGCGCAAAGATTTCAGTTGTTTCAAGTCTTCTTAGACGAGCACACTCCATGATTACCGACGAGAAAGAAAAAGAAGAAGAGATATCAAACATTACTGAAACTCCCAAGCAAAACAACTACCTAAAGAACTTCATCAACAAAATCAACACAGACATTAGGTATAGCCGAAAACGCATTGCGAAAACATTGATCTCAACAGTCATCATTCCATATAGAGCAGAGACGTCAGATGATATCTGAAGAGTACTCAATAAGCTCGACATTAGAGTCTTCTTCAAAACATCAGACACACTACGAAACAACCTTGTCCAGATAAAATACCAAATCCCTAAAGATTCTCTATCTAACTGTTTATAAAATAAAATGCTTGGAATCTGATGTGATATACATCGGACAAATCTCACCAGAGAAAAATCAAAATCAGAAGAAATGAACACCATAGAGCGTCTGTTCGACCTTCAAGAAATAAATCCAGTTGAACTAGAAAATCCTGAAAAATCATCAGCCATAGGTCTACGTGCTATAGAATTAGGCCACAATATCGATTTCGACAATGTTGAAATAATTCAGAAAAACTTCAGGAATCAGAAGCACTTCATATCAAGTGGAATCCCAATTGTCTGAACAGGAATGATGGACTAAAACAGAATCTGACCTGGTTACGACACCTCCCTCCCCTATGAAGGGACAAAATCAACACGAATGTGATATGCAAGTTCATTATGTAAACACACACTGCTTTTATAATGTTACACACTGATCAAATCCAACAATCTACACTTGGTTTTGTTATCATTACCATTTGACCGACTTGACAACGAAAAATGACTCCAGACTGACGAACGATGATGAAGTTAGTAAACTTTGTTTTGATATCTTAACAGATGTACTATTACCTTTGTCATTTGATTTAGTGATCTTCATTGTTATTTTGACCTTCAATATGTCCTTTTAACTTGACCTAAGTAGCCTATTTTCTCACCTCTTAACTCTTTGTTATATATATGCTGAGATTTTGTAAATTCCGGTTTAATAATACTACTTTGATAAAGCTGTTAACAGCAGCATTAAATAGCGAAACGTCAGTAAAAACAACAATATCGTTTTGTTTTTCACTCATTGGGAAATACAAAAACCTTTATTATAATGAATATGAAAGAAGGTGTAGTTTTAAGTGAAATCCTTGTCATGAATCAAAGCACAACAAAAATATGTTGAAAGTCATCAGGAAACAGAGAGTTTACTTATCTGACTCTGAAACCAGGCATTTAATCATCTGATATCAATAACTGCCGATTCTAAGCAGATTAACATTTATTGTCATTATTGTTCCTTTGCGTTACGAGTGAAACATAGATTTTCAACAGCACACCACCACTCCAACCCATTCGCTGAAATCGTATGCAGCTAAAACAAGTAGTCCCTTGTCAAGTCAATTTATATGAAAAAGTCTGTTTAATTCAACTTTTCCATATATATTGACTTGACAAGTAAATGTGTGATCAGATTGTTCGAAATGTATAGCGCAAATACATCATATTTTTCAGATAATCTCCATCTTCTAATAATGATATCAAAAGCATACAGATAAATTTCCGACTGCCTATAGGCTGTCATCCCTATCTCACACGATCTCTTCCATGTCACCCTCGGACTAATGCCAAACTCGTCGTTTCCTATTTGGGTTCTATTTCGAGGGCGTACAGCACGATATCACACAAATGTCTCCTCAGTATATCTCCAATCCATCTCCATTCTCTTCGGAATGTCTCTTGGGCAGTAGGGTTTGGATTCGCAATTCTGTCTGCCGTGCCATCTCATTTTCAGCACGCAGCTGTCGAAGTTAGCTGTTGAAAAAAATTTTCAGAAGTATGTTAGAAATGCTTTTGAAGACTCATACACGTTTCTGACCCATATAGAAAAAATCATTTAACATTGGGGTTGAAATGCCAAACTTAATCCTTTGAGCTGGATGCAGTGTATGAGATTTCCAGGCTGATTACAGAGTGATGAAGGTTTCCTTTGTCTATCTGATTCTAGTTTTGACATCGTCATCCGTGCTGCCACCTGTAGTTGAAAGGGAAATGATCTTTTCCAAATTTCTCACGTTAAAAGCAGTTAGCGCTTTCTGTTGTTCGTTGGCTGGTTGGTTATTTTCATCACCACTGTCTTCTGAATGTTCATTTGAAGTCCAGTCATTGTTGATAGGTTGTTCTTTCAACTTGTTGGTTTTTACCTCTAGCTCTTTGAGTTTGTGTGACATTGGACATAAATCTTTCGCGAAGTCCAGACCTTCTAGCGTCTCCTTATCGGTCCGACGTATTCCTGTCTTCTCGTTCCCTATTTACCGTCTGTCACACGATCCTGTCCACTATAATAAGGAATATCATCGGTGACAGAAATCGGCCTTGTCTTACTCCTGTTAGCACTTTAAAGACTTCACTTAGTTTTCGTTTGTTGTTCAGTTGACACTTAACAATGTCATATAGCTGTTTCGTGATCCACTGTATATCGTTGAAGTATTCTCCAAAATACTTCACGTTTGACGCTTTCGAAGGCCTTTTCAAAGTACGTAAGGGTGAGGTAGAGGTTTGACCGCCACTCTGTGCTCTTTTCGACGATAACACGTTCATTTGCAAATCGATCCGCACATGATTTGTCTTTCCCGAGTCGAGATTGTTCCAGGGGGCAGTGTTCTGTGCCCAGTGCATCTTTTATTCTCTCCTGGATGATACAACTTAAAACACTATTTAGCAGCACTTCTTGCATTTTGGAGATTAGAAGGCAGGTTAGAAAAATTAACAATCAAGAACCTGACACCCAGTACACATTCCGAAGAGAATGGAAATGAATTCAACATACGCTGAGGAAACTGCTGGGTGCGGCAGGCAATCGTTAGAGTTGAAGCCGTATGGGAAATTACAAGTCGGGCATCAGTCAGACGGTGACATGTAGGCGATCATATGAGGAGAACCATATGCAATACAACAAAGTAGAGAAGTGCTGTTGGATCCGTATGTTCTACTCTGAAACCAAGGAAACAAAACTAATGATACTGCCTAGAGAAGAGCAGATTTTTACCTTGTAGATGTTATGTCTGTCTTCCATTGAAAGCACTGTGTTAAATATATCTACTCGTTAATACGTTCTGCAGAAAGTATTTAGTTATTGACTTATAAATAAATATAAATATTTTAGGTGACTGACCTACCTCGGATTCTTTGTAAAAAGACCATAAAGTTTTTTCAAAGGAAAAGATTGACAGTATGCATAACCTTCCGAAACCCTGAGATAATGTGATGTGAACTTCTTATGTTCCAAATGTTCAGGCTCGACAGGATTCAATGGCTTCTCTGACTTCAGGAAATGAGACTGTAGAAACATTAGATCATTTGGTGATAGACTAAATCCTCACATTGAATCACGCAGGAGCACAACAAGTTGTCTGGCCTTTTTCGTAGTGAGAATTAGTCACTTCACTAAGTGTTCACTTTGTTGCTACTTACGTTTACGAGAGCTGCGAGGCATGGAATTTGATGTCTCTAGGTAGAGACAGACATGAGATAGCTTCACCAGCCAAGGAAGTTATAAGTCGGCATATCCTGAGGTGGATGGACCGCAGCACACATAAATGCTAGCACCAGCACAAGGACATAGTTGGCACAATGATCAAACTATAATATCTTCTCTATGTTGCACCATGTTAAACAGCTAATTTGAAAACTGAACGGCAGGCAGTATTATTCAGTATTATGTACCATGGCTTAAGATCCCTAATAGTTTTGCTTCATTTTGAATTGTAATATTGACTATCTTTGTTTCAATAGGGTAACTATTTGGGATAGC